ATCGCTCCAACTGGCATTATGATCAATTGCAATCACTCTAAAATTTGAAATATATATATATATATATATATATATATATATATATATATATATACTTATATGTAAGTATATGAATAAATATGACACGTACTTTCAGTGTCTTTATTTTTCAACAAAAGCATTTAAGTAAAACACTAGCTCATGTACCTAACCTGGTGTGTGTGTGTGTGTGTGTGTGTGTGTGGGTGTGCGTGTGTGTGTGGGTGTGCACTCGATGTAAACAAAGAATATTGCGCTATTTTATCGGGACTTTTTTGTCCACCAAGCCTGTGTTTGTGTTTTGTTGCGACATCGTAAATGAAGCTCGCACGTGACTTCTAGGACCGAATTGCCAAAAAATAGTTTGTTATTGTTTTGAGCGAAGCGGGTTCAAACAGAAACGATGTGTTTCAAAATTGTTTATGAATGAACGTAGTATGAAAATAATTATTTAGACAACCCAAACCATTGCTTGAATGTCGTATTAGAAAACGTAGTTCAGCACTGTGTAGTGAGTATTATTACAAATACAGTAAATACTAGGCCTACAGACCGGTCCTACTCTAGGCTAATATGAATTGGGCCAGCCTGGGCCTAACCTAGACAAGCGGCGCCAGATTTTCGCGATCTGGAATTTTTTTAGAGCAGGTTATGACCGGTGTATAGACCGCATCCCTAATTTTTGGGGGAAAATCGTGTGTCAAATTCGCGGCTTATTCATCGGAATGATTTATACGGAGTTTTGAGAGCCATGCCTTGCTGAAGACTGAGCGGGTATTTCTAGGCAAATAATTGTATCGCATTTTATTGTGATGCATTTGTGAAAGTGCTTCGCAATTAGTTTAAAACGCGTCGCATTTTACGATGCAACACTGGGTAAATCGGACGCTGGTCATTAATCAATTTTGGAGTCACATTTTTTTTATTTGTAATACAACTGGAGCAATTGTATAAAGTCAGTAAGTAAATCCATACCAAGTAGATAAATTATAAGAATTCAAACTTGTGATGATCATAGTTTTTCCAAGACCAAAATTTCCAAGTCTCATTCTTACTTACAATTACATAATTACAATAATGAAAGTGTTTTTGTGTGTTTTTTTATTTTTTTTAATAGTATATAGCCAGTCAGTTGTAACATCTAATAAAGTGGCCAAAGAAGGTGATGGTGAAGTGGTGATACCATGTGACTATTCACAATTTATTGATCCACCTTTGTCAGTCATATGGAATGAAGTAAATAAAACTGGAGAAGCTAATAAAATTAGTATTGTAAATAGTGTAAAGACTGTAAATGGACGTTACAGCTTAAGAACAAGTCCTGTGAATGCAGACCTGGTTATCACAAAGCCAGTTAGGAGTGATACTGACAGAAAATTTCGATGTCAGATACATGTAGGAAGCACGAACTTCATATATTCAGATCCTTCAATCCTCACTGTAATTTGTAAGTATTGAACATTTACATTCTGTATTGATTACATTTCGATAAAAGTTGTTCACAAATTTTAAAATTGTTCTGTAAGCGAGCAAAATTACTGAATACCAAGAATATTCATAAATAGATGAACGGTATTCATCGCATCAATAGTAGAAAATAAATTCATTCAGATCAGCTATTTCCATATTTGAGGTCATCAAATCAATCAAAACAATTGGTTTGGGCCATTTTGACCACATAACAAAACATTTTAATACTGGGCGTGTGTAAGAAAAACAAATATGAACAGATTGAGCATGCTGCACACTAGACATGCCACAAGTCTCTAATTTATGGATTTTTCGTAGTACATCCCAGATCCTAATCCCAGAAAAAGTATACTATGGAACGCCATTTGTGCCAAAATCGATTTATTCTTAAGCATTTCAACTGATTAAGACAAAGATTAGGGACTGGAACCCAGTCTAGCTGCACACGTATGTTCGCGTCAATACAAGAAAAGAAAGTGTAATAGTGCGCGTGCGCGAGTTTCAGTCACGGTCTTGATACAGGGTATAGGACCCTTTATCACAACGATAGCTATTTCAATACTTGAAGTTGATCATATCAATTGGTTATGGGCCATTTTGACCACATAACAAAACATTTTTAATAATGTGTGTGTGTAAAAAAAAACCAAATATGAGCAGATTGAGCACGCTGCACAGCGCAGTGTTTGGGCGATTTCATTATCCGAAAAGAATATATAAAAATTACCTTTTTAAACGATCAATCATTAGTGAAACACTATTGAAAATACATTCCCAATTTATGCATAATACTGTAGAAATAAGAATGTCCACAATCATATTCATTGATAAATTTTGACAAGTATTTGATACAGCAGGTATCATTAATTCTTCAGTTCAGAAAATGGAACACACCAATTCCAGTGATGTCACGCTGGGGCGCTGATGGGGGGAAGGGGCAGAGCGCCAGGGCCCCCGGACATTATAGTTAAAAAAAATATGATATAAATTATAAGTCAATCGTGACGTCATCACTGTAACTCTCAATGTTATTTGCCTATTCCCCAGCGTCCAATATTTTTTTTTATTATTGGACGCTCGGCTTGATTTTTTTTTTCAGGTTCGTGTGCAAAAAAAATTCTTCATTATCTTCACCGCGAATACATCGCGCACCGCGATAAAAATTGAATTGTAATTAAAAATTACTTTCGTAAAACAAGCTTAATTAGAACCCGAAAAAAGTTACTTCAAATTCAATATTAAGTATGAACAATTAAGGAATTCATTGAATCAATGGACCCTTATAAACTGAACGTTTAATAGAAATATTCTAGACCTATTTTAAAGACTCAAGGAACAAATGTAGATGTAGGCCTACGGCCAGGCAGGCCGCCTGGGCCTTCTCCTACTATTCTAGACATAGGCCGTAGCCTGGCCTAGTTATGAAATCATCGCACGATTTTACCTGTCCGCATGCACCGACCAGAAAGGACGTCAGTGACTATATTCCCCCTCAAATGCTGAAATGTTTATTTCTTTGACGAAAGTCTATCACTATACACCATTTTCGCGATAATTGGATAGAAAACTTTCGTTAACCTGGCAACCTTGCCTGGGGTACAACGACACCGCGGTGTACCAGTGATACCCGGAAGTGCCTATGCTTTTACATACAGTACAGTGAAGTAGAGTAGCGAAGCGATTGTTTTCTTTTGTTTTTAAATTCTTTTGTGAAATACTTTAAGCCATTATTCTCCGGAATAAAAGAATGAGTGGAAAAGGTGCAAGAAAGATTTGCCAGGTGAATGGCTGCAGTAATAGCCAATTTAAGCTTCAACAATGGAAAAACGAGTTGTGTCCCAACCAGGGATTTTTTCGCAAGGATTGCTCCTGTTGTATTCAGTCAGCCCTACCAGCTCCATCGGTTTCCACAAGCCCATCGTCAAGAATGGGTGAAAAATTTAAACACAAAATTAACTCTCAACGATCTTAAAGATTATCACAGAGTAAGTTGAAAATTGTTTATAATTTTTATTGTGTAAAAATTGGCCCGGTCTCAGGAGAGCGTCCAACAACCTAGCACTGTAGTAGTGAACCACTACACTTTCCCACTGGCATCCCATTTTCGTAGGAGGAGGGTCTAGGCCTAGCAATACGGCCCTTGATTCAGGCAAAGGAGTTGTGTACTAATTACAAACCCCATGATTCAATCAATCTTAAGCCACGATTATGTGGGTTTCTATGTGAAAAAATGAAGTTGAAGACTCACTCAACTGATTATTTTGTATTTGTTTTTGCAGGTTTGTTCTGTTCACTTTGTTGATGGAAAGCCGTCAAAAGGACATCCATATCCGACGCTGCACATTGGATATTCTCTACATGTAAGTTATTTCCTAACTGTGTGTCTTTTAAAATTAGATTAGATTTTTTTCTTATTAAAAAATAAGCCAAAAATTAATAAACATGCTTCTTAAATTTAATTATAATTTATTGGTTGCTTTATTTACAGAGTAATTGGAAACTAAGTCCAGGAAGGCGTGCTCCCCGGCAGCGAACTCGTGTCCAAACAAAAATGGACACAAACGTAGATGTTCACAATAAGGTACCACCGGATGAAAGGATGGATGTAGAAATAGTACAGCCAATGGACGTCGATGTGGAGCCAAAATACAAAGACGTGTCAACACAGTAT